GCCCCCGCCACAGGTGCTCAGGGAAGGAACACTTCAGAAAGGAATGAGGGACGGCTCTCCATCTGCGTGAGTAGGTGTGAGACTGTGTACATGCCTGTCATGTGAGTGTGTGTGTGCATGTGAGTGTGAGGACACACGCACATGTGGAGGGGACCCTACTAATTCTGTTTGTGAACCCAGGATCTGTGAGGCCTGCCCACCATTGGCAGACCTCCTGTCTGACCACAGCGATGGGCCTCCAGGTTCCGCCTTTGAGTCCAGCATCACCAGAACAATGGGGAGGGGGTCCTCAACTTCTGTATGGAGGGAGCTGAGCACACATCTGGGGTTGAAAAGGCTTCCCCTGAACCTGAATTTCCATAGCAAGCCCAGTTTTGGTTTATCTGGGATCTGGAAGGCAAGAGTGAAAAATGGAGTGTGTAAGACTTAGTCTTTAGCATAAGAGTAGTTGGGACAGGCTCAGAGACCCCTCATCTGCCTGCCTGTCTCTGAACTGCTCCCCCACTCCTACTTTGGTCCTTAATTGTTAAGGGCTGAGAGGAAGAGTAGGATCCCCTGCTCTCCACACCAGGTGTGGGCCTTCCTCAATTTGGGATGACAGGTTCTGAGCCCTCCCCACTCTGTCTCACTCTCTTAATTGTTGGCTCTAAAGAAGGGGGGGCGAACAAGTGGGTCAGGGGATGGGGGTGAGGAGAGGGAAGGAGGAGGAAGGAGTAGTGAGAAGGGCAGGTTCCAGAAGAACAATAAAGAGATAGAGGGAAAGGAGGAAGAAAGAGGGGAGAGGATGGGAGGTCTGAAGGAGGTGAGAGATAAGAGTGAAGACGGGAGGGGAGGGGAGAGGAGAGGAGTGGAGGAGAGGAGGCTGAGAGCATTATCAGCACTTAAAAAAAACGAGCAGCTCAGTTCTTGTTTGGCACAAATAATGGCTTTTTATGAATAAATCATGTGTCAGACGCCTCCCAGGGAGTGGGCATGGAGGGGGGTGCGTCTGCTGGGCTCCAGGGCTGGTGGGGAAGGGCCAGTTGCAGACCCCCAGCTGCAGGGGAGCTGCCCCCATCCCTCCCAGTAAGGCCTAGCAGGACTGCCTCTGGATTACTGCTGGCCTGAGCTGGGCAGCACTCATTCATTCCTCTGAGGTGGTCTGGCCGCTCCCTGCTGGTAAACTGGGCCAGCTCCCAGGGTCGGAAGTGTCCTTTCACTCTGCTCCTCTCCCTTCTAAACAGCGGAGAGAGCAGCCCAGTAGACGCTGCTGGCAAGGGAACGCCAGTCTGGGTGTGCCTGGGGGGCGGGGTGGGGGGGAGAGTGGTAGAGCCAAGCTAGGCAGCCACACCCAGGGAGGATGGCAGGCATGCAGCACACACAGGCTTGGACGCCACAGCCCCAGACGCACATGTGAACACAGTTGGAGATGAAATGACACTCTCATTACACACACACACACACACACACACACGCACACACACACGCACACACACATGGACGGACGGACAGGGAGATTGAAATGCTCAGTGTCTCCCTGGCACGTTCATTAATACACACACACTTGGGCCCACACAAACAGATGCATATGGGACCACATAGACGGACGCGCACAGATCTGCACACGCATACAAGCAGCAGCCCACCCTCCATTAACTTAGGGTGGAGGTAGCTTTGCAGCCCATGTGGAACCCAGACCCAGCTTGGCCATCCAGAGGTCTAATCTAGGGGAGGGGTTAGGGCACTTGTCCCCAGGGAGTGGCCATCAACTTCAATGTACCTTGCTCCTACAAGGACAGCCCCCAACACGGTCTGGTCTGTCCCATGAGGCCACAGCCCTCCAGTCCTTGGGCCCAGAGCTTATATGGGTCCTGCTGCCTCAGGTGCTTCTTTGTGCCTATTCATGGTCATCGCAGAGCCATTCTCCCAGAGGCAGCAAGGTGGCCAGAGAGCTGGGCAATGAGGAAGAGACTGGGCAGGGGGCAGGAGTCTTGGCTCTGCTCCTTGCTAGGAGTGTGACCTCAGAGAGTAATTCCAATCTTACATACTCCTCAAAACAAATCGAATAGGTCCCACTGCCATTTTTCAGAACAAGAAACGGAGATTCCATGAGGCAAGAGCTCTAGTGAACACTTGTAAACCTTGGCCATTTCTTTCTAGGATGATGCTCTGTGACCCCACAAAACAAAAAAGTCAGTTGCCATGGAGCTGATTTCCATTGGCTCACCAACTCATGGTGACCCTACGTGTTGCAGAGAACTCCTGGCTGTAATCATTATGGAATGAGATTGCCAGGCCTTTCTTCCATGGTCCACTGTGTGAATTTAAACCCCTAACCTTCAGGTTAGTAGGTATATGAAACTTGGTGCTACCAAGGGACCACACAGTTCCTCCCACCCTCCCTCCAGTAGGTCTTCCTCAAGCATTAATGATTCCCTTCCTGTGCCCGATTTCTAAGCTGTTTGTCAGAGCTGGCCCAGGGCCTATTTTCTCACACTTCACCTGTCCCAAGCCACTCTCAACACCTCTCTGACAACTTCTGAGCTCCTAATTCCTTGATCTTCCTTTCCTCTCCTTCCCTAAGTCCTTCCTGGACTTCTGATGTGCTCTGCAGTTGGATATCTCCAGAACACCATATGGCTCAATGCCAGGGACAGCCACTTACACATTGTAAAACATCCCTTCCATTCCCGCACATCCAAGGGGCTTCCATAGGCTGTAACTCAAGGTCAGCTTCTTGGGTGCTGGGTGCCACCTTTCCTAGGGCTCCTTCTGACTTGTTATTCCCTATCCCAGGGCAAGGTCTATCTGTCCGGTTGTCCAAATCAGAAACAGGGGACCACTTAAACTTCTTTGTTCCCCAGGATCAACGCTCAAGTTCCAGTGACCCTACATTCACAGTATTTGTAAATTCATCTTTCCTCTGCAGTCCAGCTCCCTCCCACTACCCCCTACTCTGCGGTTCCAACTACTACTTCAGGCCCCGCTGGCCTGGTCACTGCTTTTACTTCCTCCCTGGTCTCCCTTTCTGACCTGCGTGTCTGTCTCACTGTGGCCTGTCTGACTCACTTGCCTCCCTGCCTTTAGGAACCCTCACATCTCTGAGCTTCCGCTATGCTCAACTACTCTGGGTTCTAGAATGCACATGCTGACTCCAGGCCTTTGAATGCGGTCTTTCTGGCTGTGCCTCACCCCTCCACATTGTTGACTCATCCTTCAAAGCCCACCTGAGAAAATACCCCCCCCCTTGGCACCTTCTCTGACATTGGGATGGGTGTCCATCATTCATCCCTAGAGCAGCACCCTGGTTCCTCCAAGTCATCACAGCTCTGACCGCTGACATTCAGGATACTCATCTGTATCCCCCATGTGTTCCTACATTCCTCTTGGAGTAGAGTCTGTGTAGGTCTCTCGCCTGGTATAAGACATACCAGGTGCTTATGAAATCTTCCTTGAATGACAGATGTGCTGAGCACTGTTACTTGTTGCTATTAGGTTCTGTAGAGTGACTTCTGAATCATAGTGACCTCGTATGCAACAGAAATGAAACTGTCCCACCTTTGCTAACCTCACAACTGGTGCCATGTTTGAGCCTATTCTTGTTAAAGGGCTTCCTCCTTCTCCCTGTACCATTCTGCTTTCCTAAGCATGAGGTCTTTACTCCTAATAAACCCAGGAGATGGATGCTGCTCTCCCATCGTCCAGACAAAGCTTCAGCAGATGAACTTGCCCAAAGTCACACAAACAGGTAAACTGCAGGGCAGATTAAATCCACGTCTACACCTTCAAAGGCCGTGTGGCTTCCCAAGTCCTTTTCCCTCTGTTTTCTCATCTGTACAAACGGGGAAACAAACTGTACCTAACGCAGGGCCTGGTACTAAAAGATTCTCTCAAAGATTCTCTCAATAAATATCTGCGTCTCTTTCCCAAACTCTGTTAATTCTGGAGAAATAGTCGGCCAGAATTCCCCAGGCGTCAGACTTCCTGTGCGCACGTGTTCACCGACACAGGTGCAGAGCTCCACAGGGCCTGTCTCCAGCATCCAGAACTCGGTAGGCGCTTTGCCACGTGTGCTGAGCAGACAGGCACCAGAGGAGGCTGACCAGTACCCAGACACAACGCACACAAAGCCACAGTAGGGTTCAGGTGCAGATAATGCCAGCTCTGGGGATCTTTGCCAGTTATCCTCCTCCACAGCCCCCCTCCTGCTAGCCCCAGGCGCGGGAAATATTTAAAACAATTTTATTCATGAAAATATGCTGTACAATGCACTCTACACGGCCTCGACACGGCACACACGCACACGCACACGCTGACGGCACGGCCACGGTACACTGCCTACAATACGCGCCCACTGCCCACCCTGACCAGAGATGCTTATAAATATGAGAGGGCCAGGAGTGGCGCAGAGGAAGGGGTGTCGGGTATGTGGAGGGTGGCTATGGAACTGAGGACCACTGGGGAAGTTGAGACCAGTACAGGGATGTGAGGAGAGGAGTGGGCTGGACCCCCACAGGGGGAGGAAAGAGCTAGGGCCTGCTAGGATGGGGTAGTGGTGGAGCAGGGTTTAGGATGAACAAGGGACTGCTCAGGTGGGCAGCTGAGAAGCAGATGTGTTTTCTGGAAGGGGTGGCCAGCTTGGGGTGGGAAGGGTCAGTTGGGAATCAGATCGGAGTTGGGGTGGGCAGTGTGTCTGGGTAGTAGAGGCCCCTCGCCCTATCTTCGGTTCTCTTGCCGATCAGCGCCCACTGCCCTCATCTCCCTTCACACTCCAGCCCGGAGAGCATGCCAGGCTTTCAGCCCCTAGAAGAGGAACAGGTTAAGGAGTTTGGGCAGGAAAGGAGAGGTGCCCCAGCCCCCCCCCGGGTCTATTTCTGGGGGATGTCTGTGGCAGGGCTGGGGCTGCCTTTTGGCTCCTCCGGTAGGGCTGGAACCGAGGGTTGGGGCCCAGGAATCACGATGGGAAGACAGAGACCCCGTGGGAGCGGGGTGGGAGCACCCGAAGCGTGAGGAAGCTGCCCTCAGCCGGGCACCCAGCTCTGGTTGGGTGGCGGGGCACCAGCCAGGCCAGGCGGTGGCGGTGGCAGGGCTGAGTCGAAGTTGAAGTCCATCTCGTCACTGTCCATGAAGTCGTTGAGGATGATGGACTCAACGTCGCACTCGAGACTCCCGCTGAACATGTCAAGGTCCAGGTCTGCCGGGAAGCGGTCGGGCGCGGCACCCAGTGGCCCGGCGGCAGCGGCTGCGTATGGTCCGGGCAGTGCGTCCATCAAGAGGCCGCTGGGTGGGCCGCCGAAGACAGGCGCGTGGCCGGGCGGCGCCAGGCC